TGCTGATGGAGTCCACACTTCACATGGTGGCTGCATGTGCATCATGCTCATGTTCAACACATCATCCACATGGAGGATGGAGCAGTATCACCTGCATGTCAACACATTTATTGAAAACTTTTATCTGAGAAAGATTAACTTACTGCAGAAAAAAACCCAGAGAAGCCAGAATTCTTTTTCTGTATGAATGAAATGTAACACTGTAAGATGGTATATTTCTGTTTGGAGCTGGTGGAAGTAGAAGTTCTTTTAAAATCTCAATAAATGTTGTTCCCATCTTTCCAGACCTTCTTGGCATAAGCAATCAGGCAATCAGCCAAACATAGGCTGATCACACATCTGAGTGCTGTGAGCAGGAGCATTGGTCTAAATCCTGAACACTTACATTTATATAGTTTTCTGAGAAGGACTAATGCTTCACAAAACACGCCCTTTCACCAAGCTGGGCATGAATCCAGCTCGGAGAGGACAGAAAGGCAGCTCACACTGAGGGGGAGGAGGGCAGCCCTGCAGGGGGGTAAGCACAGGCTGGAGAAGCTGCCTTGAAGAGGACAGAAGGACACACCTGAGGAGGGCCCACAACCATGGGTCAGGGACCAGGCTGGTGGTGCAGCTCTCAAGAGAAGGCTCTGGGATGCTGGAGAGAACCAGCAAGGAGCACCCTCAGCCCCTTGAACCCCCTCAAAAGCCCCTTTCAGGCCAGAGACCCCTGTGCCAGTCAGAGCTGTAGTTGCCCCTGTGTTCTGCCTGCCATCCTGATGTCTTCAAGGGGTAGGCAGCATAAGGGTTATGAAAACAAACAAGACTTCACCTAGAGTGAGAGAGTCCCCTTTCATCTGTCCTTTTGCTAGTACAAAGGGCATGTAATACCTCAAACACCCTTTCAAATTAAAATTTCAGTCAAAATGTCTAGCCATGTTCAAGCAAAAGTAGTATTGGGGACATACATAGTTCTGTGTGAAAGAATAATATGCTGCTATTATTCTTACATTAACCCAACACAGATATGAAAGGAGAGTGGAAAAGGAGATGCTCAGTTTGACTCCTTCATTAACATCACTTTAACCAAGAGGTTAAGCCTTTGAGTTTGATGGGAGTTATCTCCTTGTGTTGCGCCACTTCTACATCTGTTAATCTGGAATGTCTCTGGGAAAGTTAACAGAAATATACCTTTGTAAGAGTCAATCTCTGCCAGGTCTGAACTGAGAGATCTTTTTCCCACAAACTCCCATTGCAATTACTTTTAGTGTTAGCATATCTGTTTTAAGTTGTAATAGTGGAAGAAGGTTAGACCCCAATATTTCAGTAATAAATTTTGCACTAGGAGCTTTAAAGCCTGTTTTTAAATGAAACAAGTTAGGACAAAACCCTTTAATCCTGAAAGTTTAAGGACTGAGATAAAGGGAGCAGAGCACTCCAGGTGCTTCGCCTTGAAAGCAGTACAATACCTCATTCAGTTGGCTAAAGTGGATGGCTGGTGTCATTATTTCCTGCCTAAAAGTCCTCCTGAAATCATTACTTATATCATTATATTTAAATTGGTGAAATTATCTTCTAAAAGTGAAGTAATTCACAGTGGAGAGTCTCAAAAAATAACTCTGTGTTAGGGAGATTTTATCACTGAAACAGATCTGAGTCTGAACAAAAAACTTTAGGATATAAATGTTTTGCTTATTTGCAATTTTGTTTATTTGTATGCAATAATAATTATAATCACCCTTGTAGTATAATACATGGCATATAGTGTAACATATAGTGCATGTTTGTATATATTTAAGTATAATACCTACCATACATATGTTGTATATATACATGCATGCATTCACTTATAAACATTATGTATACTATGCAAAAAAATCATGATGATTGAATCACTATGATACAGAAAAAGGACTGTCTTTAGTATCATTATAAATAAGAAACCTGGTACACATCCTTCTCCGTCTTGTCAAAACTTAACTGTACAATTCTAAATCTTTCTTTGGTCCCACAAAGCAGAAATTTTCCCACTGAAAGATTTTTTCCAATGCTCCATGAACATGTGGAATAGACAGGATGTTGCTGTTTGAAATTATTAAGGAATAGATTTTTGAAGTCTTAAGGTCCTGAACTTTTTTGATCTTGATTTATGTGAGTGAAAAAGAGAAACCTGTGACTTGAAGGCAGTTTTGGTACTAATCAGGGTGCTCAGATGACAGTGGACAGTGCAGAAATGTGGAACTTCATTCCATTCTACTGCTTTTACCATGTCAAAGTTCCCTTATCTATGATGAATTATGTTTTAATAACACCTCAAGCCACATCTACTAATTTTTTTAGTTTTATTTTAATTTATATTTCTTTTTTATATCTTTAATATTCTTTTCTTGCATGATGTTGGTGCTACTTCACTATAGCAATAAACAGTATTTATGCGCTGGTATTTTTACCTGTTGTAGACCTCTTTCTTGTGAGAATAAAGGCTTGTGACTTGCACAGATGGCAAACAAATCTACACTGTCATCACTGTTGGGATGACTGCACTGCTACTAGCAGAAAATCATTTTATGCCTGTAAGCATGGACATGTGTGTACACAAATATACACACAAATATTTATGTAAATGTAGTGACACTCTTTGGGAATAGAGGGAAATGAATAGATCTCCTGTACCTTCATATTCCACTTTTGTTCTGTGCAGTGTAACCTTGACTACATAGAGGATAATCAATGTCTGTCAGTCTGTCATTAATCTTTACAAACGCTCTACAACTGAGTAATTATTAAGCAATTAAATGCCAACTTCTGCTTTTAAATAACAGTAATAGTGTGACACAAACTTATAAAAATAGGGAATTAGAAGATAAGGATTGTGATAGATCCTTTAGTCACATTGCTATGAAAAACCTACCACTACTTAAAGAAATAATGACAATCATTTAAAGAAATTTTTCTCTAGATTAAATTCTTATTTTTCCTCCATTATTAATAATTAGAGGTTTTTGATAAGTACAATATTCTTTCTTTTTAAAGTCAGAAGCACATATCACTAACTCAAAGAAAATGGAAAACATAGCTCTTTTAAAATTTTTGGTTCATTATGATCTTCCTGCCACCATTTCTGCTCACCCTTTATTTGAGATTCAGTGATCTCAAATTATAGGGGATATTGAATTCACAGGCTTATAGAGAGAGTAAGACATATGAGGAGTGGCTGAGGAAACTGGGGCTGTTTAGCCTGGAGAAAAGGAGGTTCAGGGGGGACCTTATTGCTTTCTACAGCTACCTGAAAGAAGGCTGTAACAAGGAAAGGCTTGGTTTCTTCTCCCAGGCAACCAGTGATAAGGATGGGCTAAGAGGATAAAGTCTTAAAGTTGCACCAGGGGAGGTTCAAGCAGAATTTCTTCACTGAAATGGTAGTTGGAACAGGCTGCCTAGGGAGGTGGTGGAACACACCATCCTTGGAAGTGTTCAAGAAACAGCAGGACATGGCAATTTGTGCTCTAGTCTAGTTGGCATGGCAGTGTTCAGCCAAAGGCTGGACTTGATGATGTTGGAGGTCTTTTCCAACGTTATGGATTCTGTTCCTGGTTTGTCATGATGTTTAAGAGGTTTTACTCTGCCTATCCACTTCTTTCATGGAAAACAGCAGCTCTAAGATGAGACAAAGTAAATCGATACACAATGTTATGGTAATTTGTGAAACCTAAATTAGCTCAATGAACATGACATCAGGCATGCAGAGGTCTTTATCCAGTGTGCTGGAATAATTTCTCACTGTATACTCTGTGCCCATTTTTAAAATTATGGCAGGTCTTACTGGAGAGCTAAGACCTTGGAATTTCTAGTTAATTTTGAGAAAAGTAGTTTTTAAATGTCTAAATAACTTTGAAGCATGCTGTCCATTAGCAGTAATAGAAATAACAGCCATTTACAAGGTCTTTACATGTATTTCAGATTTCTTAGAACATACAACTGGGTATTGGAGCAGTTTCTGCTAGGCATTATGTAAACATTTAAGATATCCTTCCTCAAGATGTTTACTGGACAAGTAAATGAGTTATAAAGTAGATGTCAAAGGAAAATGAAAAGTGAACTCCTCATTCTCGTACAGCATTAAAATTTCACTGGTGTAAAAAAAAATGAGAGTCCTTTTTCAAGGTGCTCCTAAGACTCCAAATGAAAAATTGTGTTTTCAATTGGTAGTTGTACTTCAAATGTGAGTTGAGCAAACTGAATGAGTCAAATGAACCTCAGGGAAAAATTATGTAAGAAAGCTTAATGCACTGTCTAACCTCAAGAATCAAGGAAAAACAAAATTATATCAGACCTCTAGTACATAGAAGAGTTCACAAAACCAAATAAGGCAACAATCTCTTTTCCTGTTACTTGAAGACTTTTTCAGGTCTGTGATCTCTGAAGGTCTGTGATCATTGCAAACTTTTTCATGGCACTCAGATCTTCCTGGTGCCAGCCACATTGAGGGCCAATCTATCAAATCACACCACCTACCGTTTAAAAGACTCTGTGAAATGACAGAAAAAATTCAATTAATCCTATACCATTTGGAGAGGTCAGTTGAGATCATTTGGGAATATAGAAGCAGAGGAGACATGTAGTGCCAGTTCAGTGCTTTTCTATCTCAAGCACCACAACATACAAATTCCATCTGAAAATCATCTTCAATCTAAAGAAAAACTTCAGGTTTGTCCTGGTGTTATTGCACTGAAAATTTTATAGATAATGAAATTTGACAGTGAAAGTGTAAGGTTTAGGAATGATATTATAACATTTCTTTAACTTCTGAAATAATTTGTGGCCAGTTTGTACCTGATGTTGGCTTTTATTTGCAATAGCCCTTCAGTGTGTCCCTCCTGCTCTGTGTGAGATGACAGTAACCATATGCAATCTTAGCCTTTTTGTATTCCCTGTCTAGACAAGACAAGCTCTTTTATTTCCAGTTGTGCCATAAGGTTTCTGTTCCCTCTTTTCCCCTGTGTTCTCCTTCCACATTTGTCCAGGTAGGGCATCGTTCTGGAGAAAGCTCAGGCTGGTTGAGCATGGACAGCTCCATGACCAAAGGTTGCCAGCATAGCGGGGCTGGTCTCACTGCTCCTGTCACTGCCTTCAAATTTGTGCCAACAGGTAAGTGAGAAGAAATCTCCCTGGTCACAGCTACAATGAACTGTAAAGAGACAGGAGATTGTCCTGAGCAGCTAAATGACTTTTAAAACTCTGAAAAGGAAATGTCAGAAAGCTGTAGCATCTGTGTGCTGCAGAAATCTCTGCTGGTCATAAGTGTTCAATAATTTCTGAGTAATAATACTGAGTAGCTTGTTTGAACATAATATAAATTAATGAACAGAATTGCAAGAAAATCCCAAAGCCAACTACACTAATAAATGATGCCTTGTAAGAAATGCATTTCCTTTATCTGGTTTTCACATAAGAGCCAACATAAACTGATTTTATTTCCTCTCAAAATGAAAACAAAAGTTGGGCAATAATTTTTTCCAGATAATAAATCAAGAATGGATATTTATTAAGCTATCATAGAAGATACAAAAAAAAAATAGCATTCTTTGAGGCCTGAAGACAAGTCCCTATATCTTTGAAACAAAAGAGAAAAATATAAGAAAATTCTTGCTTCTATGTAACATGATAGGAAAATTAATATACTGTTGAAAGAGATGATGACAGAAACTGAAGTAAACTTAATTGTAGTTTAAAAATTAAAATACAGAAAATGTTAATACCATGGAAACTACAGAGGACCTCGAAATAGAATTTATAGAAATAGAGAGATCTGTGATTATGATGAGTATTGGGAGAAGTACTTTATGATAATTTGCATTAACATAGGAATAAAAAGTAAAGTAGTTTAGAGCTTTAAATTGAAATAATTTAAATGAAGACATATCTGCTTGCTATTTTAAAACCTTTCAAAATGTTTTCCCTTTCGACTGGGGACTTTTTTAGAATATTGAAAATAGCTTCCTAGCTAAATAGACTTTTTAAAATTTAGATAAATTAATAAATAAAAACAAGAGGACAAGCTTCACATTCATTGTGAAAGTTGCACTTTATTAATGATATGTGTTACATTCATCTGTCTGGTTTTAGTCTCATCTATGCTACTCTGATATGTAAATGTGTTTAAATATATTGAGGAACATTAAGTTTATACATCTAAACATTTACTTAATTTCTTTCTCCATAAGACAGTGTTAGGTATGAAAGTTATATCTCAGAAATTCCATGTGAATAAATCTGACTGAAAATGACCTTGAAACAAAATTTTAGTTCTGATTGTGTGGCAGAACAGACTTTTGAAATGAGACAATACTGAGACTTGAGCTGCACTGATTTAAATAACTTAGAGCAGAGCTTGGAATGCAGTCTCTGTTATCATATCTCCGTGATTCATGCTTTATAGTGCCACTTTATGATCCACACCATTTTCTTCCATTCAAATCAGTAGGTGATCTGGCAGATGACTTTTCAGTGACCTGGCTTTATTGTGTATTCATTAGAGAGATCTGAGAAGACTGCAAAGAAGGGAGTAAGGCTACAGATAAAGCTGACTACAGAACCTAGAAATCTATCCTTTCTCTTCATTACTCATATAAAAATTTGCTTCTAAGTGTATGCGAAGTCTATGATACATATTCAGAGCTTCTGTGAATTTATATCCAAAAGAGATACTACAAAGGTACGGTGTCAAGATTAGAACATAAGTCTGTACAGGAAACTTAAGAAATATTACCAGTTAATACAGCTCCAGTGTCCCTGCTGTACAAAATGCTAGTCCATCCACAGTCAGAGAAATGTGACCAAAAAAACCCCAATAAAAACCCAAAAAAGTGTGCATTGAAAACAGATATATCGTTCATTTTAGGCTATAACCATTGAAAAAATTATTTAAATAAAACTAAATCAGCTTTAGAGGATATACATTAATAACTTTTTTTTTTATTTCTAATGATCTAACAGTTATCAATCAATGCAATTTAGAATTTATTGCTGTTCAAAACTGGGGCAAAATGGTAAAAGTAGTTTTTTCCTCATAAAAAGATTTAATATTTATACATAAGTCAACAGAGGTTTATAGTCTGCCTAGTCAAGGGAACATTTCTTCTTTAACAGACTTAGTTTGTCTTACATTGTACGTAGAATTCTAGGACCAGGTTATAAATAAAAAGTCAGAGGCATAGCAGAACGCAGCCATGTGAAGAATTTGTTTTCCCTCAAGAGAGCCTTTAAAGTCAGAATTATTTGATTAATTTTCATGTTTTATGAATTATTTACAATTTAATCTTTAACAACCAAATACATACAATTTTGAATCCAGATCGATTTTACAGAGTTAATTAACTGGTCCATCAATGCAGTACAAATTCAAAACTGCAAGAAATAAGGTAACATATGCAATGATTTCCTTGGATTTTATCCATTTTCCTTTTTCTGCTGGTGGGTTTGCACCATCAAAATATAAACAAAACTTGCTATATTGCCTTGCTTTGTTTCAGTTACATAAATACCTTTTTAAATTCCATTTTTTAAGTTCTAGAAGGCATATATTACTTGAACTGATTCAGAGATACTTTTCAAATATTTTGGTTCTATTTTTGCAGCTCTTTTACCACATTTGTTTCATTATATCTCTTTTTGAGTAGAGTTGCTTTGGGGATTTTTTTGATAGAGCAAATGGTATTTAGACAGACAATATGGCTGTCTGTGAAAAAGATATACTTAACACCAGCAGCTTTATGAAAAGTATTCCAAGCCTTGATAATAGGCTTAAATATCTTCAGGACAGGGTAGAGATACCCCAGACATTTTGAAGACATAAAGCACTATAAGCACAGCAATATGAAACTAATTTGCCCTTCTCCATGTCAGGTATATTAACTCACAGTGAACTCCATATCTCTGTGGGGAGAGTATTTTCCAGCCCAGGAGCCAGCTGCTTCCTGAGGAAATTGCATTGCTATCTGCAAAGTTCGATCTTTTTTTTTTTAGTTTAATTTAAGTATGTACACTTTAATTCAACTGTCCATCGTGAAGGTTAAGCTAGATATTAGGAGAGGTTTGACCATCAGAGGAGAATGGTTCTGAAGTGGACTTTCATTAGGAAGGTAAGAAATCTAAATTATAATAAAGTGAAGTTTAATATATTTAGATGTGCCTCTGTGGTATGGCTGCCTAAGACAGAAAAAGATTAGGCTTGATAGCCCAGTGAGTAGCATCTGCATTATGTTCCCAATGATTTATTCAGCCTCACAGGGCAGCATAATTTACTAAACCAATGTCATAGCTACACCTAAATTGTAGCTTCACCATAACTCCTCTGAGAATCCTGAAAAACATATATATATATAAATGTGTGTGTGTGTGTGTGTGTGTGTGTGTGTGTGTGTGTGTGTGTGCGCGTGCGCGTGTATATATATATTTGTGTCTGAATGTGTAACAAAACTGCAAAATTATAGATTTTTCCATAAATGCCAATTTCCCAAGTCACTTTTAAAGGTAATATTATTACTAGTTTACTAAGGAAAGTTGTATTTCACGCATGCATTTTCAAACATAAGTGTAGTACAATTGTCAGCATCAGTTCCCTCAACCAAGTTACCTGGGTAGACAACAGGGTCTAGGGTGAATAGAACTTTTTACCAGGGCCTGCATTGATGGGGCAAGTGGTAACAGAAAGAGGATAGGTTTACATTAGATATCCTGAGGAAGAAATTCTTCACTGCAAGGGTGGTGAGGCACTGGAACAGGTGCCCAGAGAAGATGTGGATGCCCCATGCCATTTTTCTAGCCCAGGATGTGGCTTTGAGCAACCTGGTCTAGTGGAAAGTGTCATGGGGGCTGGAAGGGATGATCTTTAGGATCCTTTCTAATGCAAGTCATGCTATGATTTTATGATTTTTGATATCTTCTTTTCATTACTTTTAAATACAATAGTTCTTCCTTCCCAAAAGTAGAAAGTGGAGGCAATTGCATTTATTGTACTTGTTTATAAAGTGAACTTATCATCAAGGCAGGATTTTGATGTACAGCACTGTATGAATTTGACTTCAATGCCTCAAGTTTTGACTGTCTGAGCTGTTCTATTTGCTGATACCACACCCTCTTTATAAATGCGAACAAACAGAAATGCTGCTCATTTTCCTCATAGTGCAATCATATTTTAGCTGAAATTCTCAGAGAGATTTTATTAAACTGCTTAAGGATGGTTTTGCCAATGGTGTGGTTTTGCTTGTTTTCTGAAATATCCTAACACAAAGGCTGCCTGGAACTAGAGAATCTATTTTGTAAATGATGTCAAAGTTTTGGAATTCACCATTAGTCTTTATTGGAATGTGAGATCTCTCAAAATATCTAGAAGAAACTGCACCCAAAACCGTAGATTTCAGTATTTTCAGGTCCACCTGGAATAAATGAGATTTAAATAACCCTTCTCAAGTCTTATCACTGCCCTGGCTGCAGTCAAAGCAGAGACTCAGATATCAATAAACAGCTGAAAACTCTACACCCACCTATATAGATTATGTATCTGGCAGGACCTAATAATGAATTATGCATATCTGTCCCAAGCTTTAATCGTACACCAAAACAAAACCCTGTCTCTGCAGCCTATCCAGAATCTCCTTAGGCTCTATATTCGTCTGTATAGCTCTTACTGTAGTTCTCAGAGGTTTATAATATGGAGCAGTCAAAATGACTGTTCACCCACTAATCAAGATAAAGGGGGGTAAAATGAATAGCCACACATTTTTGCTATTTATAGGGTAATTTAATTTTCATAATTTTAATTTTTTTTAGAACATATCAGCATAACAATGACTCCATTTTTAGGCAAGAAACAAATAATACAGCTACAAGCAATGTTAGATGCAAGTCTCTGGAGATGCAGGGGTAAGCATGTTCTATAGAGTGTACTCTCTGCTTTGTAGAACTGTTGTTTAGATCCAGTTTTTTCCCCAGCTTTTAAATAAGTTTCTGTGACATTCTTTTGTCAGTAATATGTGGCTGGTAAAGATGATGGATGTGGCCATAAGCTATCCTGAGCACTTTCACCCACTTGCTGATAGTATTTGGACAAAGTCACAAGGAACCTGCTGAAACAGCATAATTTGAAA